CCTCTTGAGGGCATCTTGTGACTGCATCATTCCGGTCTCTGCTGGTCTTCACATGGCCTTGTCCTCTATTTGTGTCTTTTTTCTGTCACTCATAAGGACACTTGCCATTGGATTTGGTACCCTCCTACGTAGTTTGGGATGATCTCATTTCAAGATCCTTCACTTAGGCTGGGTGCAGTGGCTCACACCTGTAATCACAACACTCTGGGAGGCCAAAGCAGGAGGATCTCGCTTGAGCTCAGGAGTTGGAGACCAGCCCGAGCAAGAGCGAGACCCATCTCTACTAAAAATAGAAAAAATTAGACGGGTGCGGTGGCGGGTGCCTGTAGTCCCAGCTACTCAGGAGGCCAAGGCAGGAAGATTGCTTGAGCCCAGGAGTTTGAGGTTGCTGTGAGCTAGGCTGACGCCAAGGCACTCTAGCCCAGGCAACAGAGTGAGACTCTGACTAAAAAAAAAAAAAAAAATCCTGCACTTAATGACATCTGCAAAGACCCTTTTTCCAAATAAGGTAACATTTACAGGAGGACATTAGGGTATTAGGATATGGACATATCCTTTTTTAGGGAGGACACCATTCAACCCAACACAGAAGGGTTACATGAAGGGGTACAATCGTGGCAGCAGAGCAAGACAGGAGCTCAAATTCACCTTGTCCTCTTGCCTCCTCTGTTCCTAGTCCCTGACTTGTTTCCCCCAACCTTGGCCCTGTCTGTTCACCCCCCACTTGTGCCTGCCCTGAAGGTGTGGGCCTCCTCAGGGTACCCACCGGCTCCCGGGGGACCCCTGACTTCTGACACCCAGTGGAACTGAGCTGGCTCCTGACTCCCCTGTGCTCCTTCCTCATCCACAGGTGGCCACACCCCACAACACTCAGCACTGGAATTTCTGCCTCCAGGCTACCAGCTCCCAAGAGGTCCGGGGCTGCCTCGGCGCCTTCCTGGGGCCCCAGCACTACAAGGCCCAGGCTGGGGTTGTGGCAGCTGGCAGGCCCTAGCTCAGGCAGGCATGGATGCAGGGAGGCCTGGGGGCTGAGGCTGAAGGGAGAAGGCCCTGAGCCAAGGACCGCCCGGGGTGACAGTGAGGGGGGCCCTTTGGAGGTTCCTGGAAGAAGCAGGTGAGGTCCCCCCAGTAGGGCCAGCCTCTGAGGCAGGGATGGGGACTCTGGTTGATTTGAGGAAGGTAGGGGGAGGGAAGGCCCTCCGTGCCACCCAGGCTGGCCCAGATGTCCTCAGGGACCCCCAGGCCGCCTTCGCGGGCGGGGCAGCGCAAGCAGTACGTGTGTCCCGAGGGCGCCGTGTCTGGGGCCCAAGCAGGCCCCTCCCGGGTCACGCCCGGGCTAGACTATGTGCGCCAGGAGCTCAGCGGGTTCCCGGGGAGGGGTGGTCCTCCCACGGGGGATGAGGGCGAGCAGTCGGCCGGGCAGTACCACTGCGCTGGGGGAGGGGCAGCCCCTGCCGCCGGGCGGTCGGGCCACCAGGGTACGGCCTCGCCCGGCTGCCAGACCGCGTACCGGCGGGCGGCAGACAGGGCTGCCAGGCCGAACCCCCCGCGGGGCCAGTGCGCGCAGCGGGCCGGGCCGTACCACCGCGCGGCGGCAGGGGAGCGCCCGGGGCCGTACCACCGCCGGCCGCCGCGCCCCTCAGCCCCGCCCGGCAGGTGGCGGCCCCTCCCCGGGCCGACGTGCAGAAAGGAACGCGCCGACCTCGCCCGCGGAGGGCCGCGCGGCGGTGGGCGGGGCGCCCCGCCTCCCCTCGCGCCCACTGGCTGCGGCGCGGCAGGGCGGGCCCGGCCCGGCCAGCCATTGGCTGCGGGCACAGGTCATTTGCATACAGGGTGGGCCGCGGGACAGCGGGGCCCCGGCCGGGGCGCGCCGGGGGCGCGAGGGTGGCCGGGGCCGCAGCTGAAGTTGGGCAGAGAGCCGGTGACGACCCTGCGCCGGGGTCGCAGGTGACGCGCAAGGGGTCCCAGGTTGGCGGGCGGGGGCGCACCCCGGAGCCGCCTTCCTGGGGGTATCGGTGGGTCGGGCTGGGCAGGGGCGTTGTGGCTCGGACGCCCAAGTTGGAGGAGCCTGGGGTTCGCTGGCGACCCCTCCACCTGCCCGCTCGGCCGTCCCTCCAGGCGCAGGGCAGCCACTGCCCACCGCACACTGCGCTGCTCCGGATCCACTGTGCGTGTGACAGCGGCTGATCTGTCCCTGGGCAGCACGACCCCCGGCCCCTCCGTGACCTAGGTCTAGCGGGCAGGCGAGCGGCCACGCTGGGGTGGAGGGCGCGCCAAGGCCTTGGGAGGCGACGGCAGCTGGCCACGAAGGAGTTGCCCCTATGGACAGGGTCTAGCTGTCTGCCAGCAGGGACAGTCAGGGTCGGGTCAGGGAAGGGGGACGTCAGGGGCTGCACTGCCCTTCTCTTGCTGGGGCTGACGTTGGGCTAGCAGCCCTCTTGGAGGGAACTTTCTTGTCCTTGTGTGTCCCAGGGTGCCAGGCTGTGCGGAGTTCCTGGGACAGCCTTCTCCATGTCACCAAGCTGGGGGCAGCCTGGACAGGCTCGGGTGTTGTGGTCAGATCTTCAACCAACAGGACTGGAGCCTACAGGACCAGCCAGAGGACCAGCTCTGGGGACTTCCTACAGGAAGACAGTGACCAATTTGGCTCTTGTTTCCGCCACTTCAGTGAGGCCACTGAGGGAGTCAGGACCCTGTTGGAGCTATTTGTGGGGCCCAGGACAGGCCACTCCCAGAGGCCCGTCTGCTCAGCCTGCCTCCTCTACAGGGCCTTCTCAAGTCCACTGTGAAAATCTGGACTGGGAGTGTGTCCCGAGCAGCCCGCAGGCCTGTGGGGCCAGGAGACCTGTGGCAGGTCCTGTTTTCTCTGCCCGGTGGGAGCCAGGTTGGCAGAAAGGAAGAGGCCAACTTAGTCAAGGCCTCATGTGGACTTGGACTGGCCTTTGGAGAGACCCTATATTAATGGGGTTGTCTCCATCACCACAGTGAGGTGAGGCTTGGCAGGTGAGGGAAGGCTGTGTGTGACTTTGGGTTCAGAACCCGCAGGGCACCATCTCCCAGCAGGGCCTGGCTTCGCCCTGACCCCATTCACCAGGTGGGGTCCACCCTCAGCAGTGTCCCCGCCAGGTGGCCTGGCCTGGCCTGGCTTGGCCCTGCCTTGCTGTGGGACTGGATGTTTCAGGGAGCTCGGCCCTTCCTTACTTTAGCACAGCTCACACCATTGTTTTCAAAGCACAGTTTAAAACGCAGAATAAACTTTTCAGCAACTCAAAGGTTTGCTCAGTGATTGGAAGCACTCCGGCAACTTTTCTGAGCCACGAGATTTTGCTCACCTGGAAGAGCCCCCGAGGAGGACGGCTCTACTCCCTTTCCCACCCCAGAGCACAGTGGGGCCCCCTTTCTTGGTGGAGAAGAAAGGGGGTTAGCTTCTTCACAGCCAGCAGCAGCAGACCAGAGATGGGTACCTGGGCAGTGGCTTCAAAAGGAACAGGGGGTCCTTGAAAACAGACACAGGTGGATGTGGCATGGGCTCTGCCAGCCCTGTGCCTGCCTTCCTTTGAGAATATCAGGGGAGTCATGGCTCTGGGGAGCCCTGCCTGTGTGTAGGGTGGTCTCTGGATGGCACCTGGCATTGCCCCCTGCACGCTTATTTTGCAAGATGAACCCATCCTAGGGCTTAGGCTGGTGCCCAGAGGTATAGCCAACCCTCCTGAGTGCCAGGGAGTGGGGAAGCAAGTCCCCCCCACCCAGGGCACTCCCAGCCCAATTGACCTTTGCACTCTAGGCTCTGCCCCATGTGACCTGTGTTTAGCTGTGTCTGGGGCCACAAGTCCAGGCTTCCAAGCACCTCCCAGGACAGGTGGTTGTGAGCTGGTCAGTGAGCTCAGGCAGGAATGTGGACAGGAACAGCACTGGGCTGGGGGTTCTGTCCTGCAGACACCAGGATCAGAAGCCTCCTCCTGCTGCCTGTCCTCTCCTATCCCCTTCTCCCTGCTCAGCCAGGGGTACTCAGCCTCCATTGCTCCCCACAGCAGCGGGCTTCTGCTCACCCGGCCTCTGACGAGTGCCCTCCCTCAGCGCCCATGGGTGGCTTCCTTGCTCCTCCAGGTCAGCACTTCCATGTCCCCTGTGGTCTGCCCCAGAGGAAATGGGAGTACCAGATCCAGCTTAGGGGCCACCCCAAAAGAAAGCTGAGTTTATCCCAAACTTTCCCACCCTTCAAACCCCGCACAAAGTCCCCCATCATCTAGGGCATCTCCATTCTGTGTCCCCCAGTACCACCCATGGCTACACCCAGGCATCAGGGCCTCCGAGGTTCTGCTCATCACAAAGCTTTCTTCTCCAACTCCAGCCATGGCCCTAGGAGCTTGGAGTGTGTGGCCCATCCTGAGGACCAGGGCTCTGCAGGAGAGGTGACAGCCAGCCCAAGGGCCCAGGCAGAGGCTGGGCTGGGCTGGGCTGGGCTGTGGACGCCACCCTGCCCCAATTTCAGAGCTGCAGGCTTGCAGCGGAGGCTTCATGCCCACCTGGGGAGGCAGGGACAGCCCCTTCCTGCTGGTGCCCAGCACCCATCCTGGGCCTGCTCTGGGTGAAGCTCCCTGGGCCTGGCTGACCTAGGAATCTGGGACCCACCCCCACGAGCTTCGGCTCTCAGTAAACCTGACAGGCGGGTCTAGCTTGTCCTGGCATCCTCAGTTCCTGCTGCTGGTGGGGCACAAGCCAGGTGAGGGGGAGCCAGGTGGGAGAGAGGTCCAGACAGCAACCCACACCAGGGCTAAACCGGCAGGCCCCACCAGGCTGGGGCCCTCAAAGGAGAGCCCCAGGGCGGGTGGGGCCCCCCCATGTCCCAGACTTGTACCTTACTGAGGACTGGTCCGTGAGGGGTGCCATTCTAAGGAGCCCCAGCTGTGGCCAGACCCAGGGTCCCCAGCACCCCGGGTGTGGAACAAGTTCTAGACCCCACAAACCCCGCCCAGCTCAGCCTCAGCACACACACAAGCTATTCTGGGCAGTTTATTGAGGTTTCAGTGTCAGGGTAGGGGAGGCGGCACACAAGTTCTTCCGTGTACACACACACGCACGCGCACACACACACACACGCACACACCTCCCACAGGCAAGCATATATCCATCCACAGGTTGAGCACATTGTCCATGCAGCTCCCATCCCCAACATGGAGTCCTGGCCTTTGGGGCCCGGCAAGTTCTCTGCGGAGCTTGGCAGAATTGGCGAGCAGCAGGGTGATCCTCCCAGCAACCCCCCCCAGGATCCTGAAGCAGCAACCCCAGGGCTTCCCACTCCACGGGGGGAGAAGCCTCTGTGACCACCCACTCTCCTCCCAGGGTCCGGGCCGGCTTGTCTCAGCTGTCCTGGCTTGTCCGTCACCAGAGTCTGGGGCAGGAGCTGCTACCTCCAGGAATTCTGCCTCATGGGGGCAACTGTGGGGAGGACACAGGTTGAGGAGGCTGAGGCCAGAGGACAGAGTGGGGTTAAGGGGACAGGAGGCAGACTTACCCTCAGGGCTCAGGCTAGGCTTGAAGACAGGACTCAGGGGGGGTCCTGGGAGGGACTCCTCTCTTCCTGGAGCCAGAAGGTCCTGTGGGGAGGGCAGATCAGCTTGAAGCTGGGCCAGGGCTTCACCTCCCAGCCTTCCCCGAGAACCGCTCCCACCTGTGGCGGGGACCCGTCGGGCCGTGGGGGTGGTGGCAGTGCAGCGCCCGTCTGCTGTATGAACTGCTGCAGGTTGCACTGCCGGAGCTCGCGGTTCAGCTCCTCGAGCTCCTGGGCCTGGGCCTGGGGGCACATGGGACCCTCAGGGGGCACGGCCAGGGGGTTCCATGGCCTTTGTGCCCCACACAAAGCACTCTCCCTAGTCTGATCCCGTGACCAACCCCCAATCTGCCCCGAGTCAGGGGTGGGGAGCAGTCGGGGGATGGGCCCCGGCTCACCTGCAGGGCACGCTCTGCAGCCTCCAGAGCCCGGCTCACCAGGACCAGACTGCCTTGCAACTCCGCGCTGTGCCGCTCCTGGATAGCCAGGTCCTGGCGCAGGCGCTCGGTGGCAGACGCTGTGGGCGAGGGGGGTCCAGGGGCCTCTGCAGCCAGCTGCAGCTCGGCCTCCAGGGTGCGGGCCTGGGCGTCCAGGGCCTGCAGCCGGGCAGCATGCTCTGCAGTGGCCTCGCTCAGCGCCTGTAGACGAGCCTGCCCTTCTCGCTCTCGAGCCTGCTCCCGGCGCAGCTCCTGTTCCCAGAAGGCCTCGTGGCCCAGCTCCTCTGCGTTCCTCTGCACCCTGAGCTCCAGGCCCTGCAGGTCTGCCCAGCAGCCTGGCGTGGGTGCGGTGGGGGCCACAGGCTCGGGGGGCGAGGGGCTGGGTGCCAGCCTGGGGCACCTTGGGCTGCAGGTCAGTGCTCTGCGTGGCTCACGGCCTGGCGCTGCCCATGGCTTTGAGGGGAGGCTGGCACGAACTGGACAGCGCTCAGGGGGTGGACAGCTGTCCGAGGAGGGTCTTCCAGCCAGGCTAGGCCCTGTGCGCCGCAAGACAAACTGCACATCATTGGCAAACTGTCCGCAGGTAGCCTGGGCGCCCACTGGACACTCCTGTGGCAGCAGCTGCCGCTCTTTCTCCCTAAGACGCTGCACAAGCACAAAGCGGCCCGTCTGGCCTGGGGAAAGGGGAGAGGGTCACCTACATCGCCCTGCGTTCTGTCCACTTGGCTGGAGGAGCTCGAGAGGGCAAGGGTGATCGGCACCAGCCCCACCCACCTTGGGGGGAAAATGGGGCTGGACGATTGGGCCCTCCCAGGTCTGCCTGTATGGCCCGGCTGGCCCGCAGGGGACTCACCTATTGCTTGAGCTAGTGCAATGACCACTTCCTGGCAGGTGGTCTGCTCGGAGACGCCACAGACCACACGCTGGATGCCGTCCACCCACACCTTCAGCTCCATGGCCGTCAGCCCCAAGGGCATCCCGGTCCTGGGAGGAGGGCACAGGCCACAGGGTCAGGCTACAGAGTTGCATTCTGGCCCCAGAAGTGGTTCAGGGCTTTGGCCCCTCAGCGTGGGCTGGGAGGGCCCTGGTCCAACACTCCAGGGCACTTCGAGGCCCCCCCTGCCCCCGCCCCGACCTCCAGCCCCTCCGCAGTGCCCGGCTCCCGGAACAGGGCGAATCATTAACCAGCCGGGACTTCCTGTCCGCCACCGGCTCAGAGCGCACCGCCTCCCCCGCGGGCGGCGGGCGGCGGCCGTCCCGGGCACCCCCACGCGAGCCTTGCCGCCGGGCGACCCCAGGGCGGCGTCTTCCCGGGCCGCGGCCGAGACCCCTCCGGACCTCCGGCTCCCGACCTCTGCGCAGCCGGCGCGCCGCCCGCCGGTCCCGGCCCGCAGCCCCGGGCACCGCACACGCCCCGTCCGCTCCCGCGGGAACGCAGCGCGTCGGAGCTGGCGCCGGCCGGCGCTCGGAGCTCGGACCGCGCGGCTCACCTGGGCGCTCGCCGGCCTCCGGCCTGGGCGCTCCGCGGGCCGCCGCAACCTGCCGCCCCAGCGCCGCGCGCGGCCCCGGCCCGCGCCCCATTGGCCCGCAGCCTGCTCGCCCCGCCCCGCCGCGCCCCCATTAGCTGCCGGCGCGTGCCTCCCGCCCCCGCCCGCCCATTGGCTGCCTCCCCCCGCCCGCCCCGCCCATTGGCTCGCCGCCGCGCCCGCCCGCCCCATTGGCTCGCCGCCGCGCCCCGCCCCAGCGGCCGCCAGGTGAGGGCGGCCGGCGGGCGGCGCAGGGGGCGGGGCCGCCGAGGCGGGGGGCGGGGCCGGCGGCGTACCTCTCGCCAGAGCCTGCCAACCGCGTGGAAGTGATTAGGTATCCCCGGTCCGCAGGCCGCGCGTCGGACAGGTGTCTGGCCCTGCTCCGGGGCCGACTTCCTCGGCAGCCTTCCAGAATGACGCGCCAGGGACGGGGCGCGGGCCTGGGGCCCCAACCCCCGAACTTCCCTGACCGGCTGGAGGGTCAGGGCCCGCGGCGGCAACCTCGGTGGGGGAGGGGCCGCCCAGACTGCCCGGACACGGGGCAGGTTCTTAGCCCCAGCCTCCTCCCATCCCCCTTCCCGGGGCCGGGGGGTCCCCGGTCCTCCTGATGTTTTGTCGCTCAGGCCAGGCCTCACGCCCAGGGAGGCGACTTTAAGCCGCTCCTCCACCGTCCCTGCCGCCGCAGGTGGCTGGACCGAAGCCAGCTGGGCGCCGGGGGCGTTCAGGGCCTGTTCTATCCCACTCAGATGCAGCTGAGGGCGTGGGGGGTCCTCCCGCTGCCTGTCCCCTGTGCCTGCATGGGCGGCCCTACAGAACCGAAAATCGCAGGTCTGAAGGATGGATGGATGTAGGGGTCAAGGGGGCGAAGGCTGGGGTGTTTGGGTCTTGGGAGTCAGGTCTGGCACGCACTTTTGTCCTGGGGCAGAGAGAGTAATTGCCATGGCCATGGGAACGTCCCCAGGGCTCCCCCGGGGGTGGCCCAGGTGGTGGTCAGAGGCTTCGGAGGGGGCTGGGAAAGGTGAGGCTTCCAGTTGGAAGGTCAGGTGGGTGAGCACCAGTCACTGGGGCACAGAGGCTGTGTGTGGGGGGCCATTGCTGCTTAGGGTTCAGCACAGCCCTCAGCTTCTCACTGCTCCCTGCTGCCTCGCACCCCCACATCCACGCCCGGCGCACTCCCAGGGCGGCAAGGCCCCCATACCCAGCCATCGCCACCCTCAGGCTGCAGGGGGGCACCTCGGCGTTGAGGCGTTGGCCACTCTGTGGGCCCCGGGCCTGTTCAGCTAGCTGGGCAGTGGCTCAGCCTCTCCCCATCTCCTCCAGTCGGGGCTGGCTCGGAACTCACCCCGGGGGGGGGGGGCCCTAGTCTGGGGTCTCCCTGGAGGCTCCTGGTAACAAACAGCCCCTCCCCTTCCAGGTGCTGGTAACCACGGCAACGGTATAAAGCCCTTGGCGCTCAGGCCTCAGGTGAGTGTTGGGAGTGGGGCCTTGGGTTGGCACCTCTGGGGTCATTTGCTCTAGGTGAAAGGCAAGGGTGGTGGGGGGGGCACAACAGGGAAACGTTCCCTGGTGGGTGACCTGTTGGCCTGGCCTGGCCTGGTCAGAAACACACAGGTGTGGACGCAGTCTGGTGTCCTGTTGGGTAGACATGCCCGCGTGTGGGCCTCCTGGGAGAGTGATGCCGTGTGAACTGGCGGTGCTGCCTGGGTCTCCCCAATGTGAGTGTGCGTGTGTGTGTGTGTGTGTGCGTGTACGTGGCACCACACAAGGAACACAGGGCAGACTCAGCCCCATCACCCTCCCAGCTTCCCAAGAACATCAAGAATGGCCCCTAAGTCTGGCCAGGAGGCTGAGGGAGCCAAGGAGGAGGCGCTCCCGTCCCCGGCAGATCGAGAGGTGGCCAGTGGTGCAGACCCCACAGTTCCCACATGCCCACAGGGCACCGAGCCCCAATCTGCGTGGGTGTTCTGTCCTGTCAACTTGCAGTAAGGAGGGGAGGCAAGGGCGGTCAGCCTCCTGGGCAGGGCCGGCCTGAGAGGCAGGCCTGGTCACGCAGCAGGGGTGCTGGTATTGCAGGGTGGCCCCGGAGTCCCTGGACCGCTACACCCTCCGGATGCTGTGGGGACAGCGAGAACTGGAGATCCAGGCCTTGCGGTGGGCAGTCCTGAATGGCCAGAGTGCCCGGGACTATCGCATCCTGCAGGAGGTGGCCGGCTTCCCCGCCCCTGCTGTGAGGTCAGCAGCAAAGCCCCCAGCCCAACCCAGCCCCTGTCCTGGCCCTAGCTCCTGGTTCCTCTCTGACCCTAACCCCAACCTGTGCCTGGCCCTGGGTAAGTTAACATGCCCTAACCCTAACCCTAACCCCAACCCCTACCCCTGAGCATGACCCCTGTCCAGAACTGGCAGAGCCTGCCCTGGCCTGCAGTGCTGTGTGCCCTCTGGCCAAGATGACAGCGGAGCCCGTCCTTGCCCCCTTCTTGGCCGCTGATCCGGCCTCAGGAGCCCTTGCTTGAACCAGAGGCAGGCTGCTGAGATCGCTCCTCTCCTAGGAGTTCCTGCAGTAAGGAAAAGCTCCTGCAGAAGCAGGTGCAGAAGCTGACCCTGGAGCTAAAAGAGCAGAAGGAACGGGCTCGGCGGGTGAGGCGGGTGGGGTAAGGGAGTCGGTGGGGGGGGGGCGCTGGCTTGGGGTGAGCCAGGCTGGGGCTGGCCAGGGGTGGGGTCTGCAGAAGGACCCTCGCTCCCCCAACCCACGGCCCCTCCCGGAGCAGGAGAAGGCGGACCTGGAGGAGCGGCTGCAGCAGGCCAACAACATGCTACAGGAGCTGGATACTGAGCTGCAGGCCTTCCAGAAGTCTTGCCTCCTGCAGCTGGTTGAGTCCTCGTGGGTGGGCCGAATTATACGATCCCAGACTGGCAGCGTGGAGGTGAACCCACCCTACCCTCCCTCCTGCCTCCCAGCCCCCTCCAGCCCTCCTTGGACCTGCCTCGGGCTGGGCAGCCAGTGTGTCCCCCCTCCTGTCAGGTGCCTCTGCTGGGGTGCCCTGGCCTGTCTGGAGGCCTGTCCCCCATCAGACTGCCTCTGGGACCCTGGCCCGCGGCAGGGAAGAATCATGTGGTCTGTGGTCACACCCACCTGACACACAGGGCTGGTGAGGTCAAAGGGGAGAGAGGTGCTTTGGGGGAGGGGTGCCCTTCCCCCCAGGCCCTGCCCACTGGCCTCCAGTCTGCTCTTGCAGGTCTTGACGGCAGAGACCCTGATGGACCCCAGCGACTCCTCTGATGACCAGGCCCCCCATGCTGGGGAGGTGAGCTAGGCCTTCCACGAGTGTGGTCAGGGCTCTGGAGCCCTGCAGGAGGGGAGGGCCACGTGCCTGTTATTTCCCGGCCAGAGTTTCCGGCTGGAGGATGTGGACTGGAACAGCATTGCCCACCGGTACCCCAACCTCTTCACCAACTTGGAGTCCACCTCAGGGCACAAGTAACTGCACTGGGTGGGGACTCCCTAGGGGCCGGGGGGAAGGGAGGGCTAGCCTTGGCAGATGTAGACCATGTCCAAGTTGTCCCTGGACAAGTCACTTGAACCCTTCAAGCCTCAGTTCTCTCGTCTGTAAAGTGGGTTAGGGACGAAGGGAAAGGGGCCCGGGCACAAGCAGGGGTGCCCCACTGCCCTGGGGAGGCTGGCCGGGGGCAGGGCTAGGGGCTGTGGGGGCAGGAGCAGCCAACCAGCAGATCGTGGTCTGCAGGCATCACCGGACACCCCCACCGCTGGACACATGGAGCTTGGGTTCCCCTGACAGGCACTCGGAGGGGTGCCACAAGAGCGTCGAGTGGAGCACCCTGCCCTCTGTGGACATCGGCAGCTCAGGGAGTACAGGCTCCGACTCCAGCAGCTGCCAGCTGGGCGTGCCTTTCCGTGTGCAGAAGGTGACGGAGCAACCAACCGAGACGAGGAGCTTTGCTTCTGAGCAGATCCAGGCTCATTTGAAAAAATTCAGCAGAGACTCCTCCAGTGGGCTGGAAGGTGGAGTGAAGCAGGTTTCCCCCGCGACCCTTCACCCACCCCCCAGATCTCCACCCGGAGTCCCGTAGAACTGTTCTGCGGCCGAGGGTCCAGCCACCTGTCCTGACTGGCATCTGACCCATGGCCCCTGCTCCCTTCCCAGGATGACCCTCGGGGGCTGCAGGCCTGCTCTGGCCTCCTGTGGGACACCCCCATTGCACATGCCATATGGGGGCCCCCACCTCCAAAGGGCTGGCTGCTCTCCCTAGATTTGCAGAAAACCCACTCTGACCAGCCTAGCAACACCATGATGTCAGAGCCCAGTGTGGATGTCCACCAGGACCATTTCGGGCCTGGGCCGAGGTGAGGGGGCGTCCCTGGCCTGGTCTCCCAGCGGGCTGGGAGCGGGCAGCTGTTCTGGGGTGCGGCCTGTGCGTGCCTCTCCTCTCGGCACAGTGCTCCCCTCCCTGCCCCAGCTCCACCGACTACTGCCTGAAGATCGTGGAGGTGAGCCCCCGAGAGAATTTCGTCCGCATCCTCAACCAGTCTCTGGAGGGCACGGTCGACCTGGGCGGCTTGGTGCTGGAGCAGCTGGTGCGCGACTCCCCGGTGTGCATGTACCGCTTCCCGCCCGGCACGCTGCTGGCACCGCGGCACCACGTGACGGTGTGTCCCGCTCCCCCAGCCTGTACACGCGCTTGCCTGCCTGCCTGCCCGCCCGGGCGCCCCTCACCCGCCGCCCCCGCCCGTTCCAGGTTTGGGGCGAGGGTTCCTGCAGCACCAGGCATCAGCCGCGCCCGTCCTCCGGCCACCAGCCCGTGCGCTTCCGTGGCGACTGCGGCCGTGTGACGCTCCTCCTGAGCCCCGAGGGTGAGGTCAGTGCAGGCCCACCTGGGGGGGAGGGAGGCCGGGTGGCCTGGGCGGTGAGCAAGACCCAGGCGCCCTTGCAGGTCCTCAGTGAGCACCAGGTCTTGCGCTACGTGGCCCCGGTCTCGGGGACCTACGCTGACAACACTGACCTGTCCATCGACTGCTTCCCGCTCTCCCATAAGTGCGAGCTGCAGCGCCGGCCTCGACCCCCGCGACCCCCGCGCAAGGCCCGGGTGCGGGACGCCCGAGTTGGTCGCCGGAAGAGGTCAGGGTGGGGACCACGGGTCCCTCGGTCGCTGCCTCCTCTCCATGCCCCGCCCCAGCAGAAACCGTCGCGGACTCCCTCCTTAGGCCTCCGCTCCGCTAGGACCACTGCGCTGGCCTGGTGCTGTCCAGGACCCCCACCTCCCCTCCAGGTCCCACTGGGCCAGTGCCCGCGCCCCATTTGTCCAGGACGCCCCTCCGGCCCTCCTCCTCCCCAGGCCCGGTATTGCCAGGACCGCCTTTCATGGGTGGACTGCGGCCCTCACGATGCCCTCGTCCCAGCAGGACGCGGGGCACCTTGCCACTTGTGAGCGCCCACAAGTTCTTCCCCGTGCGGGAGGTACCGCCGCTACCCGAGGGCGCAGAGCCCTGGACGCTGGAGCCGCTGCCCGCCCTCCCAGGTGAGCATGGCGACGCTGAGGGAGGCGCGGGCCTGCGGGGAGGCGCGGGCAGGCCTGACCCACCCCACCACTGTCCCGCGCAGAGGCTGGGCCGGGCCTCGAGGACCACCAGGTCCCGAAGGAGCACAAGGTCCGGGTGAGTGAGCGTGCGGGGGTGACCCTCCAGCCCCGCTCCTCCCCCGCCCCTTCCCACTTGGGGTCTGTCCCTCCCCACCCACCTGGGGGCTTCGCCCCGCCCCTCCCGGCTCCCCTCCCTCTCCCCGCCCCTCCCGGCTCCCCTCCCTCTCCCCGCCCCTCCTGGCTCCCTGGCCCCGAGCGAGCGCTCTCGGGCCCCGCCCCCAGGTGTGCCGGAAGAGGGTGGACCCCGGCTGCCCGATGGTGAAGCTGGCCGTGCAGAACACTGCGGAGAGCAGATACGGCTTCCGCTTCCTCAGCTGCCCGCCGGTCACCGTGGACACGTGCCGGCGGGCCTAGGCGCACAGGAGGCGTGGGAGGCGCTGGCTGGGCGGGCAGCGCTAGCTGCAAGCTTTATTGAACCAACGTCACCCACAAAGTAAACAGCACTTGAGCACACCTGAGAGTCGGAAATGATTCGCTTGGTTTCTGGCCGCCCCATTCCTGCATGGGAACCCCACAAGTCCCCCGAGGACCAAGTCCTGGCTGTTCCCCGGGCGGCCTCAGGCAGGCACCTCGGACCCAGGGGCAACCCGAGGGCGCTTGAGCAGAGGATGGACTCCCAGCCCCAGCTCTGCCACCCGGGCCCTGGCCCTGGCCCAGCCCCAGCCCCAGCAGGGGAGGTCTCAGGCCTGGCCCCTGGCCAGTCCTCTTGGGAACTCTTGGCCCCATGGAAGGGTGGGGATTGGACCCTCCCTGCCCAGGCTAAAGCCAAGCCTGGGCCCTAACCTGGGCTCTGGCCTCTGTGGTCCCCTGGCTGCTCCCAAGACCCCACTCCCCTGGGGGCCTCTCCGGGGCCTGGCCCAGGCTCATCCCCCACCCCCCAACACAGCAGCCCAGATGCTCTGGTCTGTGGGGCCAGAGTCCCTGTGGGGCCACAGGACCACATGGGGGGCTCCTTGGCCCCAGTCCAGGCAAGCTTGGCAGTGAGGGCGGGGTGCACATTAAGGGTGGGATTGAGCCATAGGGTTCAGGTGCCGCCGGCACTGGAGGCCTGGGGGTCTTGCCGCAGGATCCGGTGCTGGCTTCGGGCCTGGACATCCCTGGGCTCCAGCGCTCAGGCCCGAGGCCACCTCCAGGGCTCTCAGGGCAGTCACTGCAGCCACCCCACGGCCCAGGCCAGGCCCCTCACCCCGGCCAGGCCCCAGGCTGTCTAGGGCTCTGAGCTGACGCCCCCTGAACAGGTCTGCAGACCTCCAGGGGGAGCTGCTACCTGAGTCAGGTGGCATTGGGCATTTGGGCGGAGAAGGAGTCAGGTGGAAGCTTAAGGTCCTGGAAGGCTCTAGAAAGCAAAGAAAGGGACGGCATGTCCTAAAGGCTGCCAGGCAAAAGACTTGCCCGGTGGAGGGGGTCTGCAGCCTGGGGAGGTGGCGCCACAGGCAGAAAGGGCTGCAGGGTCCACTCTGGGCCCCTAACCCCAGCCCACTTCTGGACCAGGCAGAGAGGCCACAAGGCCTGGGCTCTGGCTGTGGGTCACCTGGGTCCTGTCCCCGAGGGCCTGCTCACAGGCTGGTGGCCCCTGGCCAGTTCCTGAATCTCTGAAAGGGAGTGAGGCTCCACCAGCACAGGGCAGCTGGTCCTGGCCCTGCCGTGCCCACCTGGACTGGCGTCTGGAGTAAGGGCCCAAGCCCGCCTCACTGCCACTCCAGCTGCTCCTCCTCCTCCTCCTGGCTGTCCGCCCTCAGTCCCTGCAGCCCTCGTCCACTGGACAGCCGGCGCTACACCCTCTGGACTCTCTGAGGGCCCGCTCCTCCCTCTGGCCCCTGCCCAGATACCAGCCAGCACATGGAAGGGCAGGGGCTCAGCCTGCGTGTCCTGGCTGTCCTGCCCCCGATGGCCATGCGGCCCCTGCTTGCAGTGCCCCAGCCCAGGCTTGCCCGCCATGCTGGGCAAGGGCCCTCTCTGCCTTGCAGCTGTGTTGTCTTGAGCCAGTGTCCTCCAGAGAGGGTCCCGCCTGCTTAATCCTATGTCCTCAAGCCCAGCCACAGGTCTCGTCTTCAGGTGAGGGGGGGCGCCCTCCCTCCTTGGTCTCACGTGGACTTGGCGGCCTCCCTCCACCCAGGGCCCGGTGCCTGCCCTGAGAACTGCCCAGTGGGTGCATCTTGCTTGCTGACACCCTGGCCCTGGAATGCCCTGTCTCTCTGGTGTCCAGCTCAGGCGGCCCCGAGGTCCCATGGCTCGGGGAGGGGAGACTGGGATTGCCTTCCCAGGTGTGAGCCCCCGGCCCCCAGGAGAGCACCTGTCTGCCAGCCCCTCCCAGAGCCAGCTGAGGAAAGGGGGCCGATCTGACTCCCACTGGTCTGAGGTGGGGGCCCCCCACTGCGGGCGGACATGGGGTCCCTCTCAGGCATTGGGGTTGGGTGGGCAGGCTCAGTACCTGAGGCCGGGCTCTGGGGGCTGCAGGGAGTCTTGGGCTCAGCCTGGTCATCTTGCTCTTCAGGGGCCCTTCCTGGGCCCCGGGGGGCTGGGGCCCCTTCCTGCTGGGACCCCAGGTGCCTAGAGGGGAGGGGTCAGGGTGGGGGAAGGAGAAAGCTGCAGGCCTGTCCCTTCTTGGAGCCAATCCCAAAGGAGTGGGGGAGTCTAGGAGGTGCCCACCAGCCTTAGGCTCCCAAGACCAAGTCCTCTGGCCATCTTAGGGACCAGTGATAGCCCAGCCACGGCACCCCAGCGCCAATCCGCCCACACCAGGCAGGACACACAGAGCGGGGGAGCAGGGGCACCCACCCTAGGCCTGGCTCCCGCCGGGCCCTATGCCTGCCCAAGTCCAGAAGGTCACAGCTGTCTGCAGGGTCAGGCCCTAAGGTGGAGGTGCTGGTGGCCAGATCTCCTGGCCTGCGTGCGGGCAGCTGCTCCGGCGGCACCCAGGCCTGAGGAGGAGGAGGGAAGGCTCGGAAACCCCGATTCTGGAATGCTATAGGGCAGGGCGCGAGCCCTGGGCCCCGGCCTGCTTTGGGGAGGGAGGGGTCGGGGGAGGGCGTACCTGGCACTGGTGCCTGCGCTCCCGCAGGCCTTTGGTGGGGTTCCCGCAGAGGACTTGGCCAGCACCTGAGGAAGACGGGGTGGCTGGGCCTGGGCTGGGGTCAAGGGGCTGCAGGGTCAGCTCCAGGCCGGGGCGGGTCAGTTACCGTGAGTGAGATTGCTGGCGTTGTCTGCCTGGGCCGGGTCCTCAGGAAGCAGGTCTTGAGGCAGGGGGCCCCCGGGGACCAGCAGGGAGAAGGACCAGGACCTGGGGGCCCGGGGCTGGGTCTCAGGCAGGGACAGCTCCGGGTTGAATCTCTGCAAGGGGGCTCCCTGGAGACAATCTGCAGGAGAGTCAGAATTGGAGGTCACCGGTCCCACCCAAGATTGTCCACAGACCAGGGCCCGGACACCCAAGCCACGTGCCCCGAGGCTGGCCTGTGATGTCCCTTCCTTCCAGAGCGACCCTCCTGGTAAGAGCCACCTTACCCACCCGGTGCTGCTCACAGAGACAGGGTCCTGGCCTGGGGGTGATGGGCACAGCTCTGCACACCAGGGGTTAAGGCTGGAGGCCAGCGTGAGAGGTGGCCCCCTCATCTCTGAAAGACCTGGGGGGCTGGGGTGGTGATCTCTCCCTGGGGGGCTGGGCAGAGACCTCCTGTGCAGTGGGGTGGGGGGTGGGCGGGCTCGGCAGGAGCTGCCGCCTACCCAGCCAGGGGAGGACGCTGCCCTTCTGGATGGCCTCCTTCACCACGAGCCAGTCCTGGGTCAGCGTCAGGGCGGCGGGCGGGCCCGGGCGCGTGGCTGGCACCTCGTCCAGCACCTGCAGCTGGGGCACAAGCTTCTTCACCTCTGCCCTGTAGTTATAGTCCCTGGGCACCTGCAGGGTGGAGGGTAAGGGGTGGCAGGCCTGGGGCTCCCTCCCCCAGGCCCACCGTGGGGCAGGGCGGGGGGAAGGCCCCGTGCAGGGGCGTGTGGGTCCGTGTGCTGCGGTGTGCCTGTGTGCCCGCTCCGAGCAGGGCCTGCGCAGGGCTGGGACACTGCACATGAGCACATTCCCGTGTAGGGTGTGCACAGGCCTGCAGGGGCTGGAGGTGGTTTTGGACAGGGCGTTCACAGGCATGCTTGTATGTGCGTGCGCATGCGTACGTGACCCTGTGGGTTGCACGTGGCATGTGTGTGGACCTCGCAGGGTGCATACATGGGCAGAGGAACATGGCATGTTTGCATGCAGCCCTGTTGGTGGGGGGCGGTGGGCTGGCCCAGGAGGAAGCACTGGCAGTCAGACATCCAAAGACAGACAGGGAGGAACTCATGGTGAAAGAGCCACAGGGCGCAGGTGGGCACACAGGTCCCTGGCCTGTGAGAGGGCCCAGGAGCCGGAGCCACAGGTGCCTCCCCTCCCGCCCGTGTGCCGGCTGGGTGCGCGGGACACACACCTTGTTGGAGGGATCAGGGGCCGGCCGCAGGCACACCAGGTTCCCCTCCAGGGTGAGCGTGGCCAGCCGAGGGCACAGCTGCAGGTAGCGCACCTGCTCCAGGTCCTCCACGCTGTTGCCCTCCAGGTCCAGCACCTCCAGCTGCTCCAGCAGGCACAGCGGGCTTAGGTCGGAGATGTTGTTGTAGGAGACGTACAGTTCCTGGGCAGCGAGGGCCTCTCAGCCCGGGCCCAGCCTGGCCCAGCCCCCTGCCCAGGGCGCCCAGACCCACCTTCAGTGCCGGGAAGGAGCCGATGCCGTCCAGGTCATTCAGGCCGCAGCGGGCCAGCCACAGCACCTGCAGGCGGCCCAGGGAGGTGCCCAGGTCTCTGCAGAAGGCAGGGTTGGGTGGTCAGTGCGGGGCTGGGTGGTGGGGGCCCTCTGCCACGCCCTGAGCCAGCCACCACCCGCATGCGGCTGCCTGCAGGTGCAGGTCCCATGGTGGCCTCCAGGCTGAGGAAGGGCTGTGCCCCCTGGCCTCCAGCATGGGGAGGATGCCCTCCTCCTCTGCCACCCCCTGGAGGGCCCGGCCTGGGAGCTGCCCTCTAGCTCTGCAGGTGTCCTGGCATTTCTTTATTTTTTTAATTAAAAAAAATTTTTTTTTGAGACAGAGTCTCACTTTGTTGCCCAGGCTAGAGTGAGTGCCGTGGCGTCAGCCTAGCTCACAGCAACCTCAGACTCCTGGGCTCAAGCGATCCTCCTGCCTCAGCCTCCCGAGTAGCTGGGACTACAGGCATGCGCCACCATGCCCGGCTGATTTTTTCTATATATATGTTAGTTGGCCAATTAATTTCTTTCTATTTATAGTAGAGACGGGGGTCTCGCTCTTGCTCAGGCTAGTTTTGAACTCCTGACCTCGAGCGATCCTCCCGCCTCAGCCTTTCAGAGAGCTAGGATTACAGGCGTGAGCCACCGCGCCCGGCCATGAATACGCTTTTCTGCTTTTCTAAAACGTATGATCGAATCATTTCCCCTTGGAAGTATTTTGTTTTGCTGCAAATAGTGGATCACGTTTCTTGCTTTTGTAATTACTTCTCTTTTACGTTTTAATTCCCAATGTATGTGCTTTTCATATACTTTCATTGTTCTCTCGGCTAATTTGTTGGCCTTCACGATGGCACCTTCTCTCCTCTGTTAAAGTACAGCGCCCTCTGTTAGGACGTCACGTGTCACCTGTGTCTGCAGGGTGCATCTTCTCTCCACCGGGGGTCCTGTGGCCGCCCCGGGGCCGGCTCATGTCCCCGTGGTCTTTACTTCCAGATCTTCATGTTTTATGACATCCTCGTGACCTTTGTTCGATCAACAGAAGCGTAAATAAGGAAATTCGCGAGACCATTTAAGGTGAGGTTGCTTGATGAAGACCCTCACCCTCACCTGGAGATAACGGAGCACAGCAGGCACGTGGAGCCAGTTCAAACCGCTGGGGAACTTGCTCGAATTTTGACCCGACTTCCCCTGCCTCACGCTGCCAGGCCTGGGCTACAGGAAATCATCAGCATTTTCATGAAACACGCTTTGCTCAGACCCCTCAGCAAACTGTGATCTTCCTTCAGCTTTGTTCTTTCCAGTCCGACGAGATAAACGAAAAAACCATTAACCTGTCTTCCGTGTTGAATGCTGTCTCTGAAGTTAATTATTAAGATGATTTGGGCCGGGCGTGGTGGCTCACGCCTGTAGTCCCAGCATTCTGGGAGGCCGAGGCGGGCGGATCGCACGAGGTCAGGAGTTCAAAACCAGCCTGAGCAAGAGCGAGACCCTGTCTCTACTATAAATAGAAAGAAATTAATTGGCCAATTTCTAATATATATAGAAAAAAATTATCCGGGCATGGTGGCCCATGCCTGTAGTCCCAGCTACTCGGGAGGCTGAGGCCGGAGGATGGCTTGAGCCCAGGAGTTTGAGGTTGCTGTGAGCTAGGCTGACGCCACGGCACTCACTCTAGCCTGGGCAACAAAGCGAGACTCTGTCTCAAAAAAAAAAAAAGATGATTTGGCACGACGGGCAGTGAGCTTTCCTGGCCGCAGAGCCCTGTTTCAGGAGACTCGAGTTTTGCGCGGCATCCGTGGTTGGCCTTGGTTCCGTAAGGAGGCTCCGCCTGGGGGTGGTGCCCACCTGTTCCTCTCGCTGCGGAGCACCTGCCCGGCTCCCCAGCTTTCTGGCCTCACAGGTGCAACCAACAGCCTGGGCTGCGGTGCAGGGATGCCAGGAGTCCCCTAAGCGTTGGCTGGTTTTGGAGTGTCCACCAGAGACCCCTCACTGGTTGGGGTCTCTCTGCCAGAGATCAGCGAGCCCCTTTCAGTCTCATCGGCCATACAACCTGGTGGCCTGACCCTGACCCCGGCTCTACGCGTTACCTGTGGCAGGTGCCTCCCACTGACGGGAGCTGCAGGGGCAGAGTCAGGCTGCTTGGGGGCGGGGAGGCGTTAGGGTCCAGTCCAGAGAACTCAGGACACCAGGTCAGGATGCCCCGAGGGCCAGCCTGGCCCGGGACCTCATCCTCTCCACAGAGACCCACCCAGGAGGGAGCCTGCCCCAGCGAGACACCCCCGTACCTGGGAGGGAATCCACACCTGCCTGAACGTCCCGCCCGCCCTCCACAGCGTCATGTGGTCAGGCCAGAATCCCCACCAGCAGGATGCCTTGGAGCTCTCTAGGCCCTAGGGACCCTCACCCCACACGCAGAGCACTCCCCTTCACCCTACCTGGAGCACTCACCTGAGGGAGCCCAGGCGGCTGCCGTTCAGCTTCAGCTGGTCCAGGTTGGGCAGGTGCACCCCTGTGGGCAGCAGTGGGAGGTTCACTCACACCCTGCCGGGGTGTCAGTGCCCCTTGGCCTCCCCCTATCCCCCATTGCTCGTGGGCCAGCCTCTGGGCAGAAGCCTCTGTCCCCAGCAGGGCAGTACCACAGGGACCAGATGGCTCCTTGGGCTGCTCCAGGGGCCACCGATGGGCCTGCTTGTGCAGGGCCCCCCATGGCCACACGCCCCACGTCCACAGCCCAGCCCAAATGAAGCAGAGTGTGCGAGTGGCAGGGCAACACAGACTGTCCCTGAAGCCCGTGAGGCCACTGGACTGCAGGTGTAAGCTTGGAGGAGGGAGCAGGCTGGCTGGGGTGGGGCCCCCTTGGGCCTGAAGCCTGGGTCCTGCCCCTGAACTGCGTCCCACGAGCACCCCAGTCACCCCGTCCCTGGGCAGCATGGCTGCCGAGTCACTGGAACACTCCGGCCAGTGTCTCTGTGTGGCCCGAGGACCCAGGGAAAGGTTCTGAGTCCTTCAGAGGTTGGGGCACTGGCCCCAGGAGACAGAGTCCCTGGACGGGGACAGGAAGAGGCACAGGGCGGCTGTGGGGTGAGGTGGCCTGGGGACCAGGCCCGACAGGAAGGGGCTCGAGTGACCTCATGGGGGCACGGAGTGGCCTAGAAACTAAGCGGTCACGGACTTAACAGCAATTGCAAAACACAAAATGAGACCAACCGAGATGGCCTGCGTAACCTCACTCGTAATCAGAGAAATGCAGACAGCCCACAGTGACGCTGGACAGGAAGGACCCTCCCTGCCACGAAGGACACTGTCGGGACAGTTGGTGACACTGGACTGGGGTCGGCGGCCCGGGCGCGCCCTGCGTTGGCGTGGCGTCCCGACTCTGACGCCTGCCCTCTTCGGGAAGACACGCTGACGTGTCAGTGCACAGAGGGCCTGCGGTCTGCTGCTCCAGAGTAGCTCAGGAAGTGACAGTTGCCCCAGCGAGAGACAGAGGGAGGGAGGGAGGGAACGAACGATGGCAATGTTGCAATCATGCATGATGGAGTCTGGTGACTTGGACTTGGGAGGACTCTGCACTGTCCTACGGTGTTTCTGTACGTTCAAAACGATTTCAGGCCGGGCATGGTGGCTCACGCCTGTAATCCTAGCACTCTGGGAGGCCGAGGCGGGAGGACTGCTTGAGCTCAGGAGTTCGAGACCAGCCTGAGCAAGAGCGAGACCCCGTCTCTACTAAAAAAAAATAGAAAGAAATTAGCCGGACAACTAAAAATATATATACAAAAAATTAGCCGGGCATGGTGGCACATGCCTGTAGTCCCAGCTACTCGGGAGGCTGAGGCAGCAGGATCGCTTGAGCCCAGGAGTTTGAGGTTGCTGTGAGCTAGGCTGACGCCACGGCACTCTAGCTCAGAAAGCAGAGCCAGACTCTGTCTCAAAAAAACAAAAACAGGCCGGGCGCGGTGGCTCACGCCTGTAATCCTAGCTCTTGGGAGGCCGAGGCGGGCGGATTGCTCAAGGTCAGGAGTTCAAAACCAGCCTGAGCAAGAGCAAGACCCCGTCTCTACTATAAATAGAAAGAAATTAATTGGCCAACTGGTATATATATAAAAAATTAGCTGGGCATGGTGGCGCATGCCTGTAGTCCCAGCTACTCGGGAGGCTGAGGCAGAAGGATCGCTCGAGCCCAGGAGTTTGAGGTTGCTGTGAGCTAGGCTGACGCCACGGCACTCACTCTAGCCTGGACAACAAAGCGAGACTCTGTCTCAAAAAAAAAAAAAAAAAACCCAAAAACAAACAAAACTATTTCAAAATAAGCTTTGAGAGCACCTAATTTTGAGACGTCAGTTGTAAGGAAACACACACAGCCCCGAGAAGTGCGGGCAGCATTCCTTTAAGAACCAGAAAGAGATGGTTGTTCCGCAGGGGCCTGGGCCTGGCAGTGGCGGGCATGGGCGGGGACTCACCGAAGTTCCCCAGGCTGCCCTCACGGGTGTCCACGCTCATCTCCAGCACCCGCACCAGCTGCAGGTCGTCCACCCCGGCCAGGGCCTGCTGCAGAAACCAGCCGGGGGTCAGCCCTGGGCCCGGCCGTCAACCCTCCCCGCAGGTCCAGCCTCCATGGCGGCAGGGGACAGAGGATTCCCTGCCTCATCCACGTTGGCCTTGGCCACGGACAGTGTGGCTGCTGGACTCTGAGTGCATGGAACATGCACAGAGGTTGTGGCTGTGCTTGGTTGGTGGGGCCGCTGTCAGAGAAGGACCTGCCCCGCGGCTGCCAGTCTCCAAAGGAGGCTCACGGAGCAGAGCCATTGTGCCTGGAGCCTGGAGCCTGCAGGACTGTGGACCACAGGCACACTCATGCCGCAACCCACAGTGTGGGGCCTGCTGCTCGGCAGGTGTGAAATGCAAATGTTTTCTCCTGGGATCTGCCCCTGCCTCCCCATCAACGGAATCTTCCAGCAAAGTGGCTGGTGGGGCTGTTCACCGGGGGGAGGGCCTGGGTGGTGTGGGTACCCAACAGGGTCCTGTATCCCACATTGGCCACGGGTGGGCAGGCGGGGCCCCGACGTGGGAGGTGCAGGGTTGCCCGGGTGGGAACCTGCAGTTAGGAGGGCTCTGTAGTGCCTTCCGGGCCGCAGGTTGGGGTGGGGGGAACAGGAGCTTCCTCGCCAGATGTGGGAGAAGGCCCTTGCCTGCAGCCTGGACATGGTTAGTGCCAACCGAGTACGGCCCCACCTTGGCTTAAGGGCCTGGCGAGTGGGGTACACTGGGGCGGCACGGGAGCCCCTGGCCCAGGGAGGGGCTGGATCCAGACCCTGCTGGGCTGCAGGCCTGAGCTCCTTCCTCACTGGAGGTTTCCTCCTCCCCTGGCACTCTGTGCTTCCATGTGGCCCTGGGCCTCCATGGTTGGCACCCTGCAGAGAAGGGCCGTGCTCTGGTTTGAGGGCCGCGTGCTCAGCAGACACTTGTGGGATCCTGGCCTGGCTAGATCCTGTCTGTGCCCAAATGCCTGGGGACCTCTGTGCCCCCAAGAACCTGGGGCTGCTGGAGCTTTGGGGCCTGGGCTGAGGGTGGCCCCAAGGACACCAGGTATGGAGGACAGACTGGATGTCACCCTCACAAGCACTTACCAGCCGGGCAGGGGACAGGCGCTGCTCCACCAGCTGCCCTCTGCAGCCGTCCCTGCGGCTGCCCGGGCCCTTGCTTTTCGGGCAGGGGTTGCGCAGGCCCTGCCAGCTCAGCTCCCGTACCCGGATGCTGGCCGTGCTTGGCCGAGGCCCCCGGGGTCTGTCCCAGGCTGGGTCCATTCACGACTAACCTGCTGGCAGAGGCAGAGGATTCGAAGCCTCTGAGTGTTTGCTCCTCCTCTGATCTGGGCCCAGCTGAGACCCTGGACCAGCCCCCTGCCGGCATGCCCCTGCACACAGCAGGCTGGTGGGACCCACCCCTGGCCCAGAGAAGGTTCTTGGCCTGCCCTGGCTTGGCCTGATGTTGCCCTTGCTCGCTTAGCTCAGCCTGGAGGGCCTCGTGGCCCCACAGCCTTGGCCAGGACCCCTCTTGCCCGGGCAGGATATCTCTCCGGGTTTCTTCCCATCCTTCAGCAGCGCTGGCTCCAGGCCTTCTCTGAGGCCCCACAAGGGCTGGGAGCTGGGGGTGCTGGGCAGGCCACCTGCAGTGACCAGTAGCAAGCTGCTGCTGGTGTGCTCCCTGGGCTATGGGGTCCTTCTCCACCCGATGGTCTCCGACTCTAGCAAACCCCAGGCCCTCCCACCCCTGTGCCAGCCATGCCCCTCACCTGCAGGCAGCTGCCTTCTCCTGCTGTGGGTCAAACATCTGGGCAAAGAGGCGGCATGTGTCCCCAACTGGTACCTGGAAGAGAGAGCCAGGTTGGCCTCCTGGCCAGGTCACTGTCCCCAGGGTCGCCTGGGATAGGCCAGGCTGAGGTCACAGCACCCAGAAATGAGCAAGTGCAACAGTGGGTGGTGGTGGAGGGGGCTGTCCTGCTGTGGCCGGACCATCCTGACTAGGGACTCAGCCCAGCTGACGAGGAAGGAGACAGAGCCAGGTGTGTGACCAATGCTGGGTCCCTCTGGGTCCCCTCTGGTGCTCACCCAAAGCCCACTTCCCTCTGTCTTGGAAAGGGGTCTGGGCTCTGCTGTTCCTGCCACCTCCATGGACTTGGCCTCTTCGGCACCTCTATCCCTCCAGAGCCCCTCCCTAGGCCCCTGGAGGAGGTTGTCCAGTGTGTCTCTGGGCTACCTGCAACAGGCTCACCTGGTGTTGGTCCTTAAAGACAAAGATGTTTGCACCTGGCCCTGGACCCTGGCATCATGATCCCTGGGGGTAGAGCCAGAAGTCTGCCCGGAACGCCCAGCACCCTCCTCCCTAGCTCCTTCCTCCACCCACAGGCTGGGCCCCTGCCCTCCTCCCTCCTGCACCCCCTCCCTTCCCAGATCTCTTTTCCAGATCAGACTGAGCCTCTTCCACCGCCCCTTGGGGCTCGCACGTGTGGGGTCTCACAGGTGTGGGGTTGAGCACGTGCCCTGCCCCGCCAGGTGTGGGCTCCGTGTGCACAGGGCACTGGCCCGCTACGCACGGTTGCAGGAGGGGCGCTAGCATACCTGCTGAAGGCACCCTAGAATGCAGCAGATGCACATGTCACCACTTAGAGCGTTCGGGCCTCGCCGGACCAGGGCAGCGTCAGCTGGGTTTGACGGAGGAGGCAGTGGTGGGGAGTGATGGCCCCTGGACAAGCCACTGGAGACCTGTGCCTCAGTGGCCTGGTCTCGAAAGTGGCCCATGCATGGGGGCCAAAGGAAGCTAAGGCCCAAGGTGGAGTCTCCTGGAATTTCCAGCCAGGGTCTCCCCTGCTGCCCACCTTTCTCCAACCAGTGCAAGACCCCAGCCTCGCCAGAGAGCCCAGCCACGGTGTTGCCCAGGAAGGTGCTGGCCACTTCCACACCAGGACTTCCAACCTCAGAGGGGGTGTGAGCTGGTCGGGGTGACCACTAGCCCCTGACCTGCCCCCAGGCCCCCCCACCTCTCCCCTGAGAGCAGTTTACTGCCCATAGCTGGGCCCAAAACATCACAGTGGTCTGAGCCCAAAGGCCCTGGGTCCAAGGACCTGGGGTTGGAGGCTGCATGCACCACAGTCCCCATCAGACACCCCCAGACGCTGCCCCTGGGGTCTGCAGCCTGGCCGGGCCCGTCTGCACACTGCACTGCCCTGCTCCCACCTGGAATGCCCTGCCTTTGTTTCCCCCAGGAGCAGGGCTTGGGCCTCTCCCAGACTCAGCCCCTCAGAGCAGGGCGGGGTTGTAGGCAGGGTCCCCAGGGGGCCAGATCTGACACTTGGGGCCAGTCCTGGCCTCCCACTGGCCCTGCCACTCCGTCTCCGCACCGGCCCAGGTCCCCCCGCACAAGGGAGAGGTTGAGGCCTGCCGCCCGACCCGAGGGTGCGCTCGGCCCTCACCTACAGGTGCGGCCCGGGGTCCACCCGGGTCCGGCCCTGGGGGCTGCGCCGCCGCTCGGCGCTCTCTCGGACGCAGGGCTGTTCTTCCGGCCGCGGGGATGCGGTCCCGGGTGCCATGGCAACGTGGGCGGGGCATCATTTGAATGCCCAAATATTCATAAGCTTGGGACTCTCCGCCCAGCGGGGCTGAGCCACGCCCCTTAGCAACGGTTGCGGGGGAGGAAAGCTGGAGGGGTCCCAGCGCCCGCAGCGGGGGAGGGGCGCCCGGGGTCTTCAGCCACGTGCCGCGTGTTCCCGCGACGGCCCGCGGACGCGGCACAGTTTTCCGGGTGGGAGGGTCGCCCCAGACCGGCGCCTGCAGCAGCGACCTCCGTCTGGGCCGGGCGGCAGCGCAGGCCGGGAAGTGCAGCCCGACGCCAGGCGGGCCGCAGCGCCTGCCCGGGAACACGACCCGCTGCGCCTGCCTCTTGGCGCCCCCCCCGCCCCCTCCCCCCGAGCCGGCCGCGAGCTGGACGCGGCGACGGGACTGGCACCCGGCCAGTGGCGGACCGAGCCCGGCCGCCGCGCGCGTTTCTGAACCGGGGCTGCATTTGCGCCACCCTGGCGTCTGGGACGTTTGCGGCGCGCCTTTGCGAGCGCGCGGGGACAGGCTCGCGTGTTCGCGCTCAGCCGGGGGCGGGTTCCGCCTCAACCGCGGGCTGAACCTGCGGGCCGGTTTGCTCACCGGGCCACGCCGAGCGGGCGGGTCGGAACCTGGGTCCGGGAGCAGCGGGCGGGGTGGCCTGCCCGGCCGCCGAGCTGGGGGAGCTGGGGAGGGGCCGCAGGCTGCGCGCGGGCTGGGGGGCGAGGAGCGGGGCCAAGGGCGCCCAGCACTGCCCGGGACCCGGGACCGCGCCAGAAGTGCGGGGCGTCTGGGGTGCGGTGCGGTGCATCGGCACCGTCCCGGGCCAGGCCGCTCCGCCTGCGCTCCGCCTGTGGGGAACGGGGGGCAGCAGGGAGGCCGGCCCCGACAGCCACCTGTGGGCCTGCAGCTCCTCGCGTCCGGCCCGCGGCCCTCGGCTATCCGCGGCCCCCAGGCGGAGGCGTCCGCGGGGGACTGCGCTGCGCAACCCCGCCCGGGAAGGCAGCGGGCGCGGGCGTGCAGGGCTCCCGAGCCGGCCTGGCGAGTCCGGCCGGTTCCCAGGGCAGTCCTGGGCCTCGCCCCGAGACGCCGCAGCCCGGGTCCCGCGGCACCTGCCGGGCGCTCCCCTCGCGCGCCCCCGAGCTCCGTATCCGCCCCAGCCGGCCAGCCCCGCCCGGCCGCGGCTCGGACGGACGGGCCGCTCAGCCAACCGGAGCGGGGCGGGGCGGGGCGGCTCCAGGCGGGCCGGCCGAACGGCCAGTGGGCCGCGCCGGGCTGACGGACGGGCGGGGCGGGGCGTGCGCGGCCCGCCGATCCTCGCCGCCCGCGCCCTGTGCCGCACCGAGCCGCGCCCGCCGCGCTGAGCCCATGCGTGGGGCCAGCAGCGCGCCCGGCGCCGCCCCCCCGCCCGCCCCCCTGGGCAGTCGCGCCCGTGAGCGTGTGCGGGCGGTCGGCGGGCCGGGCCGGGGCGTGGGCGGCGGGCGCGGGCGCGGGCGCAGGGAGCCGCGCCGGCGGGGCGCTGCGGGCGGCGGCGCGGCGGACGGCGTGCTCAGCCAGCCCAGCCCTGGCGGCGTCCCGGCCGTCGCGGTCCCGCGAGTGTCCCCCGCGCGGCGCCGGCAGGCCTCGCCCAGAGCCCGGCGCCCCTGGAGCGCGGGCGGCCATCCGCGCGCGGCGCGGCGGCCGAGGCGCGGCCCAGCGTGCGCCGGGCACCGTGACGGCGTCACTGCTCGGGGTTCCGCCTCTCCGGCTGCCCCGTCTCCTGCGCCTCCTCCGGGTCTCTTCTGCCGGCCAGCTTCTTCCGGGGAGCCGCTGCCCCTTCATTTTCTCCTGATTTATTCTGGCTGGAGGGTGCCCTGGGCCCCTTTGCCATAAGGACCTCTGGGGTGCAGGCTGAGCCGGGGAGGGCAGGGGCTCTGCCTCGGTCTGCTCTGCCCCAGCCCCTGGACCAGCACCTGGCATTCAGTAGGCACTCAGTGAATGCTTGTGGGTGCACCAGCATGCCTGCGGGGCCCAGGGCCGGTCGTTGGCTGGCGCTGGCCTGCCTGGGCACGCCATGGCACGCTCCACCATGGCAGGGCCTGTTCTGTGGGGGGACTGGCAACCTCAGCCCTCGGGCGCCTCCAGTTTAGGCTTTCTGCCTACCCAGCAACTTCTAATTTGGGTGCGTGGTTGGGAGGAGCTCTCGGCTGTCAGCCGGGCCTTTGGGGGTTTTGGCTCCTGACTTCTAGAACCCGCATTAAGTGCAGTTGGGGGCCAGTCGGGGCCCCCCTCCCTCCCCCGAGATTGGAGGTGCCACAGGTAAGCGGCTGGGCCGCCATCCTGGCCGCCACCCCTGCTGCCCGGATACTGGGGCCCAGGGAGCCGGGTGGGCCTGGTCGTTGGGCCTGGCCCCTGGCTGAGCTCGGCCCTCCTTGGCAGGTGGGGCAGGAGTCCCGGCCGCGGCCCTTGAGGAGCCATGACGGAGTACAAGCTCGTGGTGGTGGGCGCAGGGGGCGTGGGGAAGAGCGCTCTGACCATCCAGCTGATCCAGAACCACTTTGTGGACGAGTACGACCCCACCATAGAGGTGAGCCCCCTGCTCCCAGGGCGTGGGCACACCAGGGCAGGCCCCAGGTGGCCCGGCGTCCACACGGCCAGGCCGGCGTGGCAGTGTGGTTCTGTCTCCTGCCTCCTGCAGGAGGTGGAGTTCCCTTGTCCTTGTACCCCAGGGGAAGGGGCAGAGGGGCAGAGAGGCACAGGGGTGGGGCTGGCAGTGTGAACTCTCTACCGAGGAGCATGGGGCCTCTGAGCCGTGTCCTCCCGCAGGACTCGTACCGGAAGCAGGTGGTCATCGACGGGGAGACCTGTCTGCTGGACATCCTGGACACAGCGGGCCAGGAGGAGTACAGCGCCATGCGGGACCAGTACATGCGCACTGGAGAGGGCTTCCTCTGTGTGTTTGCCATCAACAACACCAAGTCTTTTGAGGACATCCATCAGTACAGGTGAGCCACCTGTGTGGCCGGCCCCGGAGCCCATGGCACAGGTGGGGCAGGGAGGCCACTGTGCCCGGACAGGGGCCTCCTGCCCTCTCTCTCTCTCTGCATGTCCTGGATGCAGCCATGCCTGCAGCCCGCCAGCCAGCTCACACCTTCCCCCTCTCAGGGAGCAGATCAAGCGGGTTAAGGATTCGGACGATGTGCCCATGGTGCTGGTGGGGAATAAGTGTGACCTGGCTGCACGCACCGTGGAGTCTCGGCAGGCTCAGGACCTCGCCCGCAGCTACAGCATCCCCTACATTGAGACGTCGGCCAAGACCCGGCAGGTGAGCCGGCTCCCCGCACCCCCGGCTAGCCAGGGACTCGCCCCACCCGGCCCCAGGCAGGGAGCAGCGCTCATTGCCCCCTCTCCCTTGACACAGGGCAGCCGCTCTGGCTCTGGCTCCAGCTCCGGGACCCTCTGGGACCCCCCCGGGACCCATGTGACCCAGCGGCCCCTTGCGCTGTAAGTCTCCCCAGACGGCAGGGCAGTGAGGGAGGCGGGGGCCAGGGTCTGGGCTCACGCCCTGCAGTCCTGGGCTGACACAGCTCCAGGGGAGGTGGAGGTCCCTGGAGAGAGCTGCCCTGAGCCAGGCCGGAGCGGTGACCCTGGGGCCTGGCCCCTCCTGTCCCCAGAGCATCCCGTGGGCACCTGTTGGTCCGGAGCCCTTATTTGGGCTACTGGGAACAGACACGACCTGGGTCCCTAGATCAGGCGAGAGCTGGGTGCAGGGTGGTCAATCCCGAGCCAGAGCTGGAGTTCAGGAGGGTCCTGGGCCACCCTGACCCCTGAGGGGCTGCTGCAGAGTGAGCCTGCCCAGTGGGGGTGGCCCTGGGTGCCTCAGGGTGAGCAGGTGGGGGCCCAGGGAAGAAGGGGCTGGTGGAGTCTGGGAGCTTCAGCGGCCGGGATTCCTCCTGAGCCAGCAGCAAGGATCCTCTCTCCCAGGTGGGGAGGGGGGTGGTCTCAGGTCTCCTTCCCTGCTTCCCTTCCCTCCTTCCCCCTCCCTCCTTCCCGGGCCCCCAGGCTGGGCCGCCCCTGACCCAGCCTCTCCCCTCGCAGGGCGTGGAGGACGCCTTCTACACACTGGTGCGCGAGATCCGGCAGCACAAGCTGCGGAAGCTGAACCCCCCCGACGAGAGTGGCCCGGGCTGCATGAGCTGCAAGTGTGTGCTGTCCTGACGGCAGGTGAGGCGCGCACCTGGCAGGCGGCTCCCGGGGCGGCTGCCCCCGGCTGGCCAGCTGCACCAGCGTGCCCACTCTGACGACCACAGGATCCCCCGACCCTGCTGGTCTCCCCCCGAGGCCTGCAGTCAACGGTGTCCTTTGTGCCCTGCCCCGGCACAGGCTCGGGACACGGAGGTGCCGGATGCAGGGAGGAAGCGCGGAAGGAAGGAAGGAGAAGGGAAGGAAGGAAGGAAGGAGGTGTCGCTGGAGCCCGGCCAACAACCAGGGACGGTGGACAGAGGGGCGATGCTGACCCCCCCAGGGACGCTTTGCAGAGACTGCTGTGAACAGCCCAGAGGCCACCGGATCCCTGCCCTCTGCCCCCTCCCAGCCCTCTGCAGGCCTTTTGGGCCCAGGTTGAATCCAGTAAATTATTGGATGGTGGACCCTGGCGTGTGCTGAGGGCGGCAGGCGGGTGTGTGTGGCAGCGGGGGAGGCAGGTGGGGAGCCGGGCTCAGTCCCGTCCCCGGGCCTGCTGCGGCCTTTCCTGGGAGTGGCTGATCAGGGCCCTGGGCGGGCTGAGCCCCTGCCCTGGGGTGTCCAGTGCTTCCTGCAGATGGCTTTGGGTGCTAAAGGGACAGGCAGGAGACAATAGTAAATGTATTTATTTTTTTTTTGAGACAGAGTCTCACTCTGTCGCTCGGGCTAGAGTGCCGTGGCGTCAGCCTAGCTCACAGCAACCCCAAATTCCTGGACTCAAGCCATCCTCCTGCCTCAGCCTCCAGAGTAGCTGGGACTACAGGCACGCACTACCACGCCTGCCTAATTTTTTTTGTATATAATTTTAGTTGGCCAATTAATTTCTTTCTATTTTTAGTAGAGACAGGGTCTAGCTCTTGCTCAGGCTGGTTTCGAACTCCTGACCTTGAGCAATCTGCCTGCCTCGGCCTCCCAGAGTGCTAGGATTACAGGCGTGAGCCACCTCGATGGTCACAGATTTATTTTTTTTTAACCAAGTGGGGGGACTTTAGGGCATGGGGGGGTGTTCTTGTTCCCAGACCTGAGGCTGGTCTGGGAACCAGTTTGGGCAGCTTCTCCCCCGGCCCACCTGGCCCCCACACCTGGGTCCCTGGAGTCCTCATGGTCCCTGCGTGGCCCCCAGCCTGACACTGAGGCCTCTCTTGCAGGCAGCTGACCCCAGACATAGAAGGGACAGGTGTCCAGCAGCCCTGCCCCAGGTCACGATGAGGAAACCAGGGGCCCCCGACATCCAGGTGTGGCAGGGGCCTAGGCAGGGGCACAGGAGGCAGGTCCCTGCCTCCTTGCAGGCTACTTGTTTCAAACAAGGCCACCTTCCTTGGGTGTTTTCTTCTAAGGCACGTTCCAGCCCAGGCGGGAGGACGTCGGGGCCCGGCCGTTTTGTCCCGTCCTGCCGTGGGGAGCACCTAGGGCATGGCCTCATCCACCGCCAGGAGGGGGCCGCTCAGGTGCAGGGGCCTGTCTCTCCTTGCCTCCTCCTGTGGGCGGGGTTGGGGGCTGGTCTCCTCCTGCCTGAGCCTTACCGCGGGCCATTTGCTGTTGACGCCTGGCCGGCAGGGCAGCCCCAAGACCCACGCAGGGTGACAAGTGGGGACCCGGCAGCCCAGTCGGCAGCAGCGGGGCTCGCTCTGCTCTCGTGGGGCCTGCTGTGCCTTGAGCTGAGCACTGACCGGGGCGCTTGGGCCTCCGTGTGGTCATCCTGGCTGCTGGGGGCCCTTGTGGCCCCTGGGGTCTCTTCCCTTTCCAAGACTTGGCTTGAGGCTGGGCTGGCAGCCTCTGGCTCTGGGACTTGCTCCCAAGGGTCGGCCAGCTGTCCGGGGCAGGGGGGACTCCACGCTTACCTCTCTGGCTAGCTGGTGCAGGTGATAGCCTTCCCCATTCAGAGAGGGGCCAAGGCTGAGGAGCTGTCAGCTGGGAGGCAGCTTGCCGGTGGTTGTCCCGGCTCCTTTTGGGCGGGCTGGTCACTGCCCCACGAGGATGGGCAGATGTAGGCCCCACTGTGCAGGGGGGTGACCCTGGCCCTGCCTCTGGGTGTTCTGTGGGCTGGGCAGGGCCGGGTGACACGGCCCCAGTTGAGGCGGGAGGGCCTGACCGGTCCTGTGGTCCTGAGAGTGGCCAGTGCAGACATAGAAGGGACAGGTGTCCAGCAGCCCTGCCCCAGGTCACGATGAGGAAACCAGGGGCCCCCGACATCCGGGTGTGGCAGGGGCCTAGGCAGGAGCACAGGGGCCTAGGCACCTGTGGTCCACCTAGTGCCAGACACCAGCTGGCCACAGCCTGAGCCCCTGAAGCCCCCCAGCACAAGGCTGGCTGCCCTGGGCTCTGCGGACGCCCCTCATGCCGCTGTGCCTCGGCCAAGGGGACGGCACAGCCAGGTGAGGGTCAGGGAGGACTGGGCTCCTGAGTCAGGGGAGTGCCCCATGGGCTGCTGGGCGGAGGAGGGGCCAGCCTGTCCCCTGTGGGGAGGGGTCTGGATGCTGGGGCCCGCTGGCTCCAGGCCCAGGACACTCCCCTGTCGGGCTGAAAGGCAAGCAGTTTGGGCAGCTTCTACCCCAGCCCACCTGGCCCCCACACCTGGGTCCCTGGAGTCCTCATGGTCCCTGTGTGGCCCCCAGTCTGACACTGAGGCCTCTCCTGCAGGCAGCTGACCCCAGAGCAAGGGGTGTGTCCCGCCTTGGATGGGGGGTGGGGGTGGGGAGCTGTCGGGCACCTCTGGCTGCCTTGGGGCGGCCCCCAGGGGTCAGGCTGGGTCAGGCCCCTGCCTCACATCCTCCTAGGTCCCTTGCCACCTACCGTGGGGCCTGTCTGCACCGTGGATGGGTCACCCTCTGCCCCCCAGGGCCACCCACTCCACGCCAGGGCTAGGCTGTTCCCACACTCAGTTGCTTTGTGGGTGCTGGCTCTGGGCAGGGTCCCACCTGAGTCCTCTCCCCGAATCCTGCCCGGGTCTGGGGTACTGACTCTCCCCACTCCCTGGCTTAGGGCTGCTGTGCTGACTGACGCCTTGGGGGCTCAGGAGTGAGGGACTTCTGCTCTCTGGGGCTGGTGCTGCTCCAGGCCTGGGCATTGGCCCCCACGGCCCCACCTGTCCCGTGCCCTTCAGGGCAGGAGTGGGAGGGTCTGGGAGGGTCCTGCCCACATGGCTTCCCTGTCCCTTGAGGCATAAGGCACCAGTGAACCCACGTTCAGCATCTGCCCTGAGGGCTTCTGAGAGGAGAAGAAGAGGAGGAGGAGGAGGAAGGCCAGGGAGCAGGGCTGTGGTGGCTGGGCCCGCCCGAATGGTGACTGTAGAGGGTACCTGGTGCAAGAGCCCACCTGGAGGGGGCAGGTGCCAGTGCTTCCTCCTGAGCTCTGCCAAGGACACCCCAAGGAGCCTGAGCACCTCTTTGTCTGGGACCAGGAGTCCCCCAGGAACCCCAGATTGCACATACAGAGAGGTTGAGATGTTCTAGGGATGGGGTGGGGGCGTCAGCCAAAAGGAATTCCCAGGGAGGGCTTGGGACCCGCGCCTGCTCCCCGCCGGACACCAGCCCTGCACAGGAGGCCCCGCTAGAGGGAGGTCCCAGTAAGGAGGTGCTGGCTGCTCTCCGCCTTGCAGGTGTGTCATGTCTGGGGTGTGCTCAGTGCCTGAGGGACTCCTGCTGCCCAGCCCACCACGCCTGGCCGGGCCCACCCTGCCTCCCTCCTGACCAGGGTGGGGCAGAGGCTCAGGTGGGCAGGGTGATGGGGCCAGCCGTGCCCCTTTGGTGCAGGGGACTTTTGTGTGATCCGAGGGCTGCAAACACGATGTTGACCAGCACGTTCCACTCTCCAGGACATACACGTCTCATGTCCTCGGGGTGAGTGGGAAGGGGGTCCGTGGGGACCCCAGGCGTTGGAGGGCAGGGCCCTTCCAGGCAGGGGTCAGCGGCTGAGCAGGGTCCCCTGGGGCCTCAGTCTGCAGTACCAGGGTCCCCTCTGCATGGGAGGAGAGCCCCCAGGCTGAGTCAGAAAAGGCCCTGTAGCCCCTCAGGGGTGGGGCTGGGTTGGGTTGGGGGAGGCTCTTGGAAGAAGGGGCTCCCTGAGGGCAGGGGGTTCCCTGGGCTTCCTATGGTGCTGGCCTGAGCCCTGGCCTCTGCCGTGGGCTGCCCCCTCTCGGGCAGGGCCTGGCTTCTCTGCCCTGCAGGGACCTGCTCGGGCCTCCTGCGGGGTGGGGTGAGCTGGGCCCTCCCCTGGGCTGGGGGGTCCCTGTGCATCCCTGCCACCTCGGTGGGACGTTGTGGGAGCCAGGCCGCGGTGTGCAGCTCCCAGGGAAGCCCTCCTTATGCTGACGGAAGGAGCAGAGGTGCTCAGAGCCCCCTCCCTGCTCCAGAGCTCAGGGACAACTGTAGACATGCCTCCCCATCCCTCCTCTGCCAGAGCTCGGCCCTGGTCCCAGAGCCTCTGTCCCCTCCAGGGAAGGAAGGGGACACCCAGCAGCAAACCCATGGAGAACCCCACGTCTCTGGGGCTTGGGCCTCCCCTCTGCCCCTGGCCCCATGGGACTGTCACCTCTGGGGAGCAGCTATGGGCCCCGTCCACTCTCTGTATGTTGCATTAGGTCTGCAAAGACCTGAGCATCCCGAAGCTCTGGGATCCTCTGGCACTTGGGGTGGCTGGGCAGCCAGGGCTCTGGGGAGCCCCCACCCCAGGAAGTCAGTCTTCTAGCCCCAATGTGGGGCTGGAAGAGCTGAGAGGGGTAGGCGCTCCTGATCCTGAGGCTGCCCCCCCTCCCATCCAGAGACCCCACCGGTGGGCCTTGGCCCTGGGAGGGGCGAGGGAGGGAACCTGCTCTGGAGCCTGGCTGGACTTGCTGCCCAGGGACGTGCTGGGCCGAGGTTCCTGAAAGGCAGGGTGGTGGGGATGGCTGTGCAGGGGCCAGTCCTGGCCGTGTGTGGCCATTGGGTGACCAGGTGGGTGATGAGGGTGTGTGGCCATCCGCATTGGGCCATGGGTCAAGGAGACACTGCCATGTGGCTCTGTCTGGCCTTGGGCTGGGAGGACGTGAGGCAGAAGGAGTGATGGGGAGGGAAGAGTCGCTGGCCAGGCCAGAGGGCCGTGGCTCCAGGACACACAGGGTGGACACAGAGAGGCTGCAGGGCCCTTTGCTGATGGGGACAAGGGCCTCCGGCTCAGGTGTGCAGGTCCCTCGCCAGCCCTGGGGCCCCTGGGAGACCCTCAGCGGGGGACTGTCCAGGTCAAAACCTGTTTGGGGATGCAGATGTGTTACCTGTGAGTCAGGCTCACCTGGCTGGGTGGTGTGGGGTCCGTGGGCAGCTGCCACCTCCCTCGCATCGCATGGCTCTCGTGGCTCGTCCGCTGTGCCAGGACCCAGAAGCGTCCCCTGCCTTTGGCTGAGCAGGACGGCTGTGACGTGGCCCACGCCCTGGCAGCAGCCCACCTCTCGGAAGAGCCAGCGTCACTGAGAAAGGAGGCCATCTGAGAGGGCTGAGGTCACCTGGAAGGGCTGAAGACATCTGGTCACCTGGAAGGGCTGAAGACATCTGGGAGGGCTGAGGTCACCTGGAAGGGCTGAAGACATCTGAGAGGGCTGAGGTCACCTGGAAGGGCTGAAGACATCTGAGAGGGCAGAGGTCACTTGGAAGGGCTGAAGACATCTGGGAGGGCTGAGGTCACCTGGGAGGGCTGAGGTCACTTGGAAGGGCTGAAGACATCTGGGAGGGCTGAGGTCACCTGGAAGGGCTGAAGACATCTGGGAGGGCTGAGGTCACCTGGGAGGGCTGAGGTCACCTGGAAGGGCTGAAGACATCTGGGAGGGCTGAGGTCACCTGGAAGGGCTGAAGACATCTGGGAGGGCTGAGGTCACCCGGGAGGGCAGAGGTCACCTGGGAGGGCAGAGGTCACTGGGGTGGCCTACCTACCAGAGACCCTGGGGGATGTGGGGTGCAGCCTCTGCACCCCTCCCAACATAACGGTCAGAACTGAGCACGTCACGCTCGGTATCTCAGTACAAAGAGCTACTGCAGAGACACCTTTGGCGTCCAAGCTCGAGTGGCCGGAGACAGCACATGTGAGGACCGTCCAGGGTCCCTCCCGGGGTGCTGTGTGGGCTCAGGCAGCACCCATGAGCCTGTCCCCCCGAGGGCCAGCTGGAGGCCCTGATGGCCACCCCAAAACAGCAGTCCACAGTCAGCGCAGCTGCCCTGCCCGGGGGAACGACCTGCAACGTGGGGCTGAGTGGAAACAGACGTCTCAG